ATGTATCAATGCATTCAGCATTGGAATGAGCATATTGAAATCCTTTAAAAGTTTTTCATTGCATAGGGACTACTAGGCTTCCCTTCACCAATCATATTAAGTATAATGAAAATAGCAAATAGGCTGCTGTTTAAAGTCACTTGTGGGTTAGAAACCAGCAGATAGTGGTACCTAATTGTCATTTTCCAGGCTGATATTCAAGGTAGGTCAAGTTAGGAAACTGCAAGAACTAGTGGCACTTTATTTTATTGTCGTGGGGTATAATAACATAATTTTAAAAGTCCATCAGAATGTTTCTCTGTCCTCTTTTCTACCAAAAAACCCCAAAGCTGCATTATCAGGAGTATTTTCCTCATCTTTTTTTCCTTTTCAGGGCTAAGTTGACATTTACTTAATGGTTCTGAAATTCCTTTTTTCAAGGCTATCTCCATACTCTTCTGCACCTAGGAAACCTAGTGAGGTAGGATCTGGATAGCACGAGGATGGGAGTCCTCCAGGGAACACCAAGGGGGTAGGCTAATCATGAAGTCAAAAAGCAACCCAGAAGAAGGCAATTGCCATTTTTTTCTGTTGCCAAAAAACCTGCTTGGACAGCTCCACGAAGTTGCCAAAAAACTGAATGCAATGTGGAGAACTTGCTATTTTACTTTGTCCTGTCCAGAGCACATTAAGTCCAATGGATATTCTACACTTCAATCATTTCCTTTCTGTGCCCTATGGTGGTTATTTTTTTCTGGAAAAATGGCGGTCCCCAAGCGGCCTCAAAAGCTCTCAGGGAGAGTGCCAAGATGAGATGACTGCAAAGAAATACAATCCTTCCAACCCCACCCCACCCATCCTGTCAGAATTAATTCTTCCGTAGATCCCTACCCCATCCTTCCAGAACCGATGAAACTTCTTGGACAAAAAGCAAGAGGTCTTCTTCCTCAAGGAAAAAAAAACCAGTCGCCTTTTGAAAAAGCATCTTTGAGAGAAAAATGGTGGATGCTTTCCATTTTTTTGAGGCAGTTTCCCTAGCTTGATAATTACCTGTTCAGCAGGTATAATTTGACACGGTATTTAGCACTCTCTTGGGGGGGAGATATACCCTAAAACAAGCAGGCTATGTAGTTGATATACGAGTTGAGGATAGAGATGGGTGGCTGCACCTTAACCCAATTATCAGTTTTTCAATCTCAAAGCAAGCTTGGGGGACAGGAGATTTTTGAAGGGGGATGCAGAACGCTGTGGGAGAACAGGGCTACCTCAGCAACTACCAAACGATCTGGGTTTTTTTCTCATGTAGTAGCCTCATGTCCCCAATCAGTCCTTGTTTAGCGACTACTAAAGTGATCACTAGGGACAGGCTCATCCCTTGCCTCCCCACCCCAGTCACCCGGCTGCACTGCAGACAGAATGACTCAGCATGTACAGCAGATTGTTCTTATTTTTAAGCCGCCATTAGTTGCTGTTGTGTAAGTGGAAAACACTGATACAGCTAACCATGAGTTCAGGTTGTCATGCTTCATGAGCTGAGGATGAGTTGAAGGCAGCATCCTTGGGATATAGAGCAAATGAAAAGGTATTTCCGGGAAAGGTTTGTATTGCAATGCAAGTAGGGAAAGCTTTGCCTGCTTTTTTTCACTGCCCAGTGACCTGGACAGGTAGTCCTTGACTGAACAATCATTCATTTAGTGACCGTTCAGAATTACAAAGGCCCTGACAAAAGAGACTTGCAACTGATTCTTGTACTTAGAACCATGGCAGTATTCCCATGATCATGTGATCAAAATTCCTGTTCTTGGCAACTAGCATCTATTTATGAAGGTTGCAGTGTCCCTGGGCCATGTGATCACTATTTGTGACCTTCCCAGTCAGTTTCCGACAAGCAATGGGGGAAGCCAGATTTATTTAACAACTCTGTGACTCACTTAACAACCAAAGTGATTTGCTTAACAACTGTGGCAAAAAAAGTCACAAAATCAGGTGCAACTCACTTAAGAAGTGACTTGCTTAGCAGTAGAAATTCTATAGTCTCAATTGTGGTCGCAAGTTGAGGACTACCTATAGTCCACTCCTCAATTTTTTTAAAAAAATGCCTGGCCCTATTCTAAGAGATTTGTATAGGTTTAAATCTAGTAAAGTAACCTTTTTTTTTTTTGTAGCTGAATTATTGGCAAAATGGATTTCCTTTTCCAGGCTCACATTAAAATTTTACTCTAGTTGATGCTTCTGTTTGAGGCATCATTTGAGGGCATGTGGGGAAGGGGTATTGCCACCATGCGAGCTGGTGTTGAAAAGTCCTTCTTTCTCTTGTTTATTTAGCATTTTTTACATCTTCTGTGATCTGCAACTGAAAAAGCTATTTAACTACCAATGCAAACTTTATAAAGTATGTTTTTGAGTGACTGGGAAATAATATGTTCCGCTAAATAAAACTTTGCTTTTCACTGATGGGCAGTCTACTTCGGTTATTATTTTCTAGTTTACAATTTTCAATCACCATCTATCTTTCTCCACCCCCATCATAATGCTTACCATCTTGTTATATACAGAGGAGAAATATAATATACATGATGATCAAGAATCATTCAAGCAGTACGGTTATGTATTCACATAATCTGAAATATAAACATTGCTAAAACTTATTTCTTGGTGCTTTGGTCTCTATTGGCTTGATTTTGCAGTTCTTGAACAAGAATAAAAAATCAGGAAGGGTCCAATGCCATGTATAACCTATATTTTCACTGTCCACCCCTCAGTGCTTATTAGCAGTGCTTTTGTATTCTAAGTTATCAGTAGTGTTACCCCTTTGAATTTCCAGCTCTGTGTGAGGTGGCTCCATGAAAATTTTCTATACTATAAGCAGCAGCAATCTAACTGGGCCTGTTTTCTGCTTGCTGCTTCCTTTCCATTGCACCTTACCTTTTCGCTTTTGTGTGGTTTGCTCAGGTCAACTTTTTCTCATGGAGACTGACAGAGCACATTAATTCTGGCTCGGATGTATACTCTGCAAATCCTTAAGAAATCACTCTTATTTGTCATCTTACTACATGGTTTTACATATAGTCAGCATAGGGTGTCCCTCTTGCTTTTTAATGAACTGATTTGTATGTTCCGTTAGCAAACCATAAAGCATACATGTTTTTGTCCTTTTTTCCTCACGGGCCATTAGAAGGCTTTGTGTTTAAGACCATTTTCCCCAGAAAAATTCAGCCGCTGTTGACATCGTGACACAGATTTTTGCTGATGCAACACTAGAAAGTGAGCTAATGGTCCCTTCAGTCTGCCTAATTTCTCAGAGAGGTTCTTTACAAATCTTAATATCGGATGCACTGTTTTGCAACTGAACTCACAAGGAAAGGGAAACAATGTGTCATTATCCAGAAAAGTTGGCTCCACACCTTGGGTCTAACATTTGCAGGTGTGGTAGAACTCCTTTGGGTTTTGGGTTAATGTCTTACTTTTGATAGATTTGGATTAGATGAGAAAAAATTAAAACTTCCTGTTGAGCTGCCCCGGGACAGCCTTATGTGTATCTGCTATATGGATGGCTTAGACCCGTGATGGCGAACCTATGGCACGCGTGCCACAGGTGGCACGCGGAGCCATATTAGTGGGCACCCCAGCTCAGCTCTGGGGCGCATGTACGCGCCGGCCAGCTGATTTTCGGGCCTTCTGGGCCCACTAGAAGTAGGGAAACAGACTGTTTCCTGCCTCTGGAGGGCCTGGGTGGGGGGTGGGGAAGGCCCGGTTTTTTTTTTCTTACCTGGCTCCAGATCCTCTCTGTGTATCTGGGAATGGCAAAAACAGCCTTTCCCACTTCCTTGGAGGCCCTACGGAGGCTCAAAGGGCCCATTTCCCCACTCCTGGTGGGACAGGAAGTGACGTTTTTTCCTGTCCCCAGCCTCCAGAGACTCCTAGAGAGGCTCCTAGAGACTCCTAGAGAGGTTCTGGAGGCTGGGGACTGCAAAAAATATCACTTCCTGTCCCACCGGGAGTTGGGAAATGGGCCCTTTCAGCCTCCGTAGGGCCTGCAAGGGAGTGGGAAAGGCTGTTTTCGCCGTTCCCAGATACACAGAGAGGATCTGGAACCAGGTAAGAAAGAAAAACGGGCCTACCAGGCCATCATGTGCCAGGAGCGGGGAGGGGGAGGGGGTTGCACACACATGCATGTGGGCATGTGCGCAAGTGACCCTCCCCGCCCCCCCTCTCCTGGCACGCAATGGCAAAAAGGTTAGCCATCACTGCTCTAGAGGAACAATTCACGCACCTGTTAATTGTAGAAATGCATACGTATCAGCTCATCCAATATGTTTTCCAAACATTCATAGCTCTAACCAGCATGCTGTGAGGCTAAACTTTGTTTGGATATGTCAATGCTACAGGGATGGCAGAATCGAGACAATTAGTACCAGTACTATAAAAATGAGGGAAAATTAAGACTGAAGCCAGAAAACCCCTTTTTGTACTTCAGAAATTGTAAGTCCTGGGGAATAAAATGTATGGTTAACTGAAAGCACCACAAATATTCATCACATTACTTTAATCTATCCTGGTACAAAAGAGTTGCTTTGAAGAGTGCAATGGGCAGCATATAAATTTCCAGTGCAGGACCCATAGCACTTTCTTTGAACTTAGCAATTAAAACTTCCTGTTGGGCTCAATTTAAAGAAATATTCTAAAAGGAAAGGAAACTGGCATTCTGCAAAGCAAAGCACCATCCTACACTCCTGGCTTTAATTCTAAGCATGCTCAAGGCATCACGAGGGCCCCACAGGTCTTTTTCCCTGCCCCCCTCAAAGACTGCAGAGTTAGAGATGATACTAAACATCATGGTGAAATGTAATGGAGTGGAAACAGAGTCAACTGCCCAGGATGGTCCAGTGAAAGGTTGTGATGTGCCAAGTGGAACTGAAACTTTGTGCAATGACCATGTTCTTTTTTAGCCACAGCTAACATGATGTTATTTTCCTCTCTGTTTTTTTTTTTTCTGAGACAGAAGAACGAATGCAAGGATGCTTGGTTTGCTCTCCTTTATTGTTTGGATCAGGGGCCTCTCTACAAAACAAGGGGCCTGGTTCTCCAAAAATAGGGTTCTGCAAAGGAAACGATCCTACCTTGTAGTTATCAGTGCTTTTCAAGTCACACTGGATTAGTAGTTATAGCAATAACAGTAACGTTAGATTTTCCCCGCTCCCCGTTTTTTGTGTGTTTCATCAGTTTTTTTTTTAATTATAAAGCACATCTGCTTCATGAATTTTAACATCTCCAAACACAATAGAAAGAAGGTAGCAAAAGAGCTTAGCTGGATGGCCACCCTCCTTGCTAGTAACAAACTCAGCTACAATGTACTCATATATTTTTTTTTCAATTTTTTTTTCTGTTTGCACATACTATGCTAGATGGATATCATCACATTGAAGAAATACCCGAACAAGATACAGCTAAGAGCTCAAGTTAAAAATAAACACAACTCTTAAAATTTCAATTGTACGAAAAAAACCACTTCTATTTGGGAGGAGGAGTGATTAGTGGTGGCAGGTGAGGGGTAAAGATATTCCGTAGGGAGGCTGGCTGGAGCAGATGCTCAGTTTGTCAAAAGTGATCATAATACTTTGCATGTTGATAGTAGTAGCACCTTTAATCAAAGGCTATTCTAGCATTTGGGAACCAGCTGGAGATAATTTACACAAACTAAAGAAACTTCCTACCCATTAAAGCCTTGTTAAGAAGTGAAGGGATTTTGAGCAGTGAGGTTTTTATTTAACACACTCAGAGCCTTGATAATGGAAGCCTCACGTCATCATCATCATCCCCTGTGAGATGTAGAAACATTATTCCCATTGTACAGATGGACAAACTGAGGTAATGAGAAGCTTAATAACCTCCCCTCCCCCTCAATTGTCTCCATGGCAGAAATAGAAAGAAGACCCAGTGTCCTGCCAAACTCCACCAACCCATGCAAACACACACATACATACACACAGAGAGAAACATATATACATGTATATATATATACACATACATTTCTTCTTTATATTTGTATGACCCTCAATTCCCCGTTAAGCCACTCCACCCCCATTTTTTAAAAATGCAAGCCTATGAACAAATGATTTATGATGCTGCTTTATGAGATATGGAAAGTTTATGCCCATGCTGGAAGATGAGCTTCTTTACATAATTCTTGTTATAATTTCATACCATTTCCTTACTCTTCAATAGTCATTTGCTGAAGATAGAATTTTTCATACTGTTGAATGGGGAATTCCTCACTATGACTACCTAGCAGGACTGAGGTTGTGGGGTTCACTGAAGTCTGGAGCTGCTTTCAAACTGGCTGAGGGATTTAGGTGGAAATGCTCCACATGTACAGATGAGTCTGTCAATAGTGTACCAGCTATTTTAAAGTTTACTTTCAAGCTACGGGGCCCACCACAGCCTTTTATTTTGTTAATGTTTGACAGCTAATAAAGTGCTTGATTAATCTCAGACTTGGCTTCTGAAGGCCCTCAAATACAGTATTCGAGAAGCTGCCACATAATCAGCAAATTCTGCCTTCGTGGTGGCTTACAAGTTGTGCAGAACTGACATATATTTCTCTCAATTTATTTAAGAATATCATTACGTCCAAAATGATGGGAACAAAGTACTAGCTTGGAGCAAGCCAAAATTGTTGGCTTTGTTGATTTGGGAAAGCATATATCTGTATGTGCTCTCATGGTCATTGGGTGAGTCTATTTCCACTAATGGAGTCTATCTAACCTTCCCACTTGTGGGTGTCCCGTTTCCATTACTCCTTAGACTTTCCATTGTGGAAAGTAGTGGAGAATCTAAAATGAAAAGCTGTAATGTCATGATAAATGTTATGTTGCTTGGAGCTTACAGTGACATAGAAACTGCAAATCTACAGTCCAGGACTGTATATGACCTCTGAAGAAATGGACAGAGTGTGGTTTAAAATTTTATGTTTCATCTGTGGATTGGATTACCTCCTTTGGTGATGTTGTGGCCTGCGGAGCTGGCAGCAGAGTCGGACAGGGAGGAGGTTGGGAAGGAACTTGGGCCAGCCCTGGGGGGCTAGGGAAAGCTCGGGCGAGGGCTCTGCGTCAGAGGCAGAGAGGGAGCTAGACAGCAGTGAGTCAGAAGAAGAGTTGGAGCCTGTTCCCAGTGTGCTCATGCACAGAGCTGCCAGAAGACAAGAAAAACTAAGAAAGCAGAGTTGACTTGGGAGGAAAGCCACACCTTGGAGGTGATTGGCCCCTCCCATAGGAAACAAGAGGAGCGAACGTGGAGGGGGCTTTTGCAGGAAACAATTCGTTCAGTCGGTTGTTGCCAAAGTGGAAAGTTCTGTTCGTGACTTTAAAAGACTGTGCCAAGTTTTGCCTTGTCTGCGGTTGGAAACTAGTTATCTGGCAGCTCTCCCAGTGAGATAAGGTGTGTTAATAAATATGCCCCTGAAAGACTGTTTGCAAAGCTGTGCTGACTGTGAATGAACATAATTCACAGTCGTGTAAATAAAAGACTCTGCTTCTTGATACTTAAGGAAGCCTAGATCAGAACAGGTGGGCAAGAGGGACCAGGATCTGGGAGATGATCAGTGCTTCCATGCAAAGATTGGTGACACCTGCAGCCTTAAAAAAAAAGAAGCTTGTGGTAACCTTCTTCAAAGGATCTCTTTAGATCCAGCTAATATTTCCTTTTGTGGAAATGCTGTTGAGTGAATTGTAATGAGGCAGCTACAAAGAAGAACAGATGACTTCAGTCTCTTATGGATAAATCTAGCAAATTAATTAAAACTTTGCAATTTCTGTCTGTCTGTAGCAATCCTGGCAACTTCCAATAAAAGCACCTTCCAATAAAAGCACCTTCCAAATGATATCTGAAGTTAGAATAATTTTTTTTGTAAACATATACTGGAACATAGCTTTGTTCCAAACTGAAGCTTTTTAGTGCTTCAGTCAATGGCTTATATTTAGATTATCTTTTTTGCTTGCATTAAATAGCCTGATATGGTCTACTGATGGGAGTTTTGAAGCTCATCCAATATATTTTTATGAATTGTAAAGGAGCAAGATGAAATTAAAGTTATATTGGGCAAAATTGACCAACTATGATGAACATATAATTAATTTAAAAAGTAGCTCAGTGACAAAGATTTTACTTTGAAGTCAGGAAGAAGCTGAGGAAAAAAGTACTGGAAACAGGATTGAAAAAAAAATACCGAAATAGGAAGTTAGCTATGTTCCAGTTCCTTTTTTGATATAAAAATTCTTTTTGTTGTTTCAGTGTCCAACATTTTGTTTTTGCATCTGATTGCATGACAGCTATACAGGTGAGGCAGAAAAATAGAAAAATAAAGCCGTGTCCATTTCAATGCTCTCTTTCTCTAGCAAGATATATTAAACAAATGCCAGTTGATGCCTTACTATCACTGCTCCCCCAATAACAGAATAATAAATATATAAAAACGGGGTCTTTGATTTTAAATTCCTGGCCCAGCTAAGAGCATGCCCTCAAAAAAGCCATAGGGTGGAAACTCACTTTACAATTCAAATTTTCCTGGTTCCTGATTTGTCTAAAACCTTCTCTGTTTATTTTGAGTCTTTCTCTTATTTCTGCATGCCTTTATTATTCTTAGCAATGTCTTGATATATGTATAAAAATATGCCTGCCAGAAATACAATTCAAGCATCTGTACAACATACATGGGGAAAATTCAGTAACACACTGACTAAGTCTACAAAATACATACCTATAACTCCATCACAAACATTATGCACATTGTAAAAGTCAGTCTGCTCAAACACCTTGACAAAACAGATCCATGGATTAGCCATCTGATGGAAGAAACTAAACACTGGGACATGTGAAAGGCTGGCTCATGTGTCCTCATGATCAATGGCCAAGACTGGAGAGAGTTATTAAATGCTCTACTATAAACTATTGATAATCTTTTTCTATACAAAACTTATCTGAAGAGACTTCAAAGAAGCAAGGTGCTGCAATGCGGTTGGTGATAAACTTTGTATTTGGAGGAGTCTTTTTTTTTTTTTGGAAGAGAAACAGCTGAATAAATTTTGTGTGTGAAGTGAGAGGAATGCGAGGAGAGGACTTAAAAGGACATAAGGTAGTTTAAGAACAGGGGGAGAAGGTGGACAGAGGTGTAGAACAGAGGTGATGGACAACATTGTGGAGAAGAAGCAGGTATTATGAAATTGCAGTAAGATTGTGCAAACTAATTGGCCGGGAAACAACAGAAGAATGTAAGCAGGGCCTTTCTGGATCAGACCACTGGTCTATCTAATCCAGCAGTCTATTCTTACAGTGACCAACCAATTGTACAAGGAAGGTAGCCTTCAGAGGCAGTCATCGTGGCATCAAAATTAATATCGATTGATCCCCATGATTTCCCTAATTTAGTCCAACCAGCCAAGCTGGCAGCTTTAAAACAATTCCTAGCCTTTCAACCAAAATTAATGAGTTAATGAAGACCTAGCCATTTTATATTAAACCAACATCCATTCTTTTCCAAGACCACAATTTTGGGTTTAGTCTATGTCTCTGGCATTAAATCTAGAAAAGTCTAGAAGTTGCCAGAATCCTGATATCCATTGACTTCGGTACTTAGTGCAGGTGTCACCAAGCTGAACATCCTCCTTCTACTACCATCCCTTCTGTTATCATTGATAAATGTTTGTTTTCCTTAGAATTTGATAGCATTGGCAAAATGATCTTGTCATTTGCACATCATGTTTAACTAATTCTGTCAGTTTTGGTGTCTGTCAGAGTCTGTAACAGTGCTACCTTTCCTGTCAGTTTGGGCATTTCTGTCCTCAGGAGAAATGGATTAATATGAGCTAGCAATCTGCCCTCTGGTTCTAATAAAATCATTCAGAAAAATCAAAATAGAACATTGGTGCCACCTAACAAATATTATGCTCCCTTCCATTTTCCTAGATTTATCTACATCTCATCTTCCATTGCTCATAGAAGAGCAGAAGGCTTTAAAACTTATTGTTTTTATCTATGTTGCTATCAGCGATAGTCACATGTATTATCTCAAGACTTGGCATCATTTTCAGATAAGGAATGTGGTGAATTAAAAATACCCACAAGCCCATCTTCCCTCATAGGGGACCAGGTGGTGTATTTGTTAAAATTGTGTTATAGGGGAAGCAAATGAAGATTCTGTGATAAGGGTAATGTCTGAGGGAAATGTAATCAAAAGAGACCCTAAGCCTTGAATCTCCCCCATTTGAAGTCACTATTGCCTGGGGTTCCTGCAGAAAAACATGCATTCAGAATCCTTTCTTGCAGCAGAGGTAACTGCTCTTGTGTGCAGAAACGGCTTAAGAAGCATCGTAGGGAACAAATATCAACTAACACTATCATAATAGCAAAAGGTATGATAAAACTTACTGCTTTTTATTGATGCTGCAGATCTACCAGTTGCAGCTGCTTGCCTTGGGTAGGGACCAACCATGGACATTTTAAGGCAGGTTTCTCAAATAGGTTTCATTATAGGGATGCTTTTCAAATTCTAGTAAATAATAGTTTGATGGAGGAAAAGAATGAGAAGCCAAAAGCACCATTTGAATATCCTGAACCAACTAGTCTGTCTCTGTCTAGAGATAGTGGTGTGCTACTTCTGTTGGTTCAAGAGCTATACTGAGGGATAGAGTTGTATGCCAAAAGTGGGCAGAAACTATTACTTGAAGTTAATGCCTTGGGTATCTGCAAAGCTTAAGGTGTCCATTTTGTTCCTTAAGCCTCCCCCCCCAATGCAAAAGAAGATCAAGTTTTGTTTTTTCCCAATCTGGGTTCTTGGACCAGAAAAGAGATGTACATAGAGGGCACATGACCCCAGACTGCACTTTTTGCACCCTTAACTCAATAAAGATAGGAAAGAGGATCTTGTAATAGTTTATCCTAAGTAAATAATTCAAGAATTCTTATGATAACTATCGTCTTTCATTTGAAGCACTGACTCATAACAAAACAGCTTTGTTTTTGTTTGTTGTGCTAGAGAGGAAGATCTGAATCATGGCTTTAAACAATGGAGGAGATTTTAGATGACCACTGGAAAACTCCAAAGAATATAGATAAGTGAGAAGACTGCTTTGGAAGATCATATAATTTCCTCTCATGTAACGTTTAAGAGAAAGTGACCATTAATAAGGGATAAACCAGAAGTAGAATTATTACTCAAGTAAATGAGTGCATGATGATTTTGAGTTTCCTTCCAGCCGTATCATTGCAAACTGAAAAGAGAGTTCCTAGCTCTACTTTTGGAGCTATGGTATTCTATTTCTTTATCTTCTTAGTAGATTTCCTATGATAACAAAAAGCCTGAAAGAACTGGGTGGGGTGGGTGGGGTGGGGAGGAGAAACACATGGAAAAGAGACAAAGGAGACATAATCATTTGGATCTTCCATTCTGCAGGTTAAGTAGTGTGACACTGCATGGTAAAAGTCTTGAGTGGAAGCATCTTGTCATTTGATAGAGCACCTGGCAGTAATCTGGAAATGTTATTTCAGAATTGATTCATGCAATCTTGTCTATGACATATTAAAGCAGAAATTAATTGTCATTCAAGTATAGTTTAATGGATGCTAAAAAATGTTCAACAAGTGCCATCTTTGACCACAAAACTGTTTTGCACATATATCAAGGCATCCATTTTCCATAGCAGCTTAAGTTTTGAACATAACACATCAGTTATGTGAATATGCAGTTAAAAATCACAATGCTGCTCAGTCCCCACTGCACTGCACTCATCAGGAGTTGGGGTGAGGTGGGGTGGATTGCAGTGTTAGCACTGGATGCTTTATGATGAACAATTTTTAGACAATCCTTTTTTTTAAAAAACTGAGCTTTCCTAATATGGGGTGGAAAGTAGGGAAGCTGTCAAACATGTATAAAGTAGTTGTGGACTGTAGCTAGGCTCACTAGGATATGCTAAATTTGTGATGGTGAAAGTGTTGATTTTAATACATTCTATGTTGAGTGGATTAACCAGAAATTAGCTACAGTGATTCATTTTCAGAGTACCTCCATCCCTGCTTCAACACATTTGTCTTATAACTTTTTATGCTGACTACCTGGAAAAATGATAATGATATCAGGAGAAAATATTAGGAGACCATAAGATGTTCTAGAATCTGGGGGGGGGGGGAACACAAGTCAAGATCTAAGTAACTAAAGGACACCTAGGGCCTCTGATTAGCAAGCAGGGGTAATTTTAGTATATAAAATAATATCCTGAGATGTACTTAGTGGAGGTGTACATTTCTCTAAAAAGTCATACACTCATGAGTGATGTAAGTTGTTAATGAGGTGTTCATTACGAGGCAATCTATTTTACAATTAGTGGAAAACTGACTGGTTAATAGTATTGCTGCACGCTTGTTCCAGTGGCAAGACTCTGGTCTGGGCAAATGCCAACCTTGGACACCAAGATGGAGAAAAAAGATGGTGCCAGTGCAGGTTGAAATAGGTAGACTTCTTACGGCTGATTGGATGGAACAAGTTGTGAGGGATCAGTTTGATCTGCTTGCCAGAGAAAATTCAGCAGAATTTAACATGTCTCTTCACCATTAATAGATCAAACTCAGAGGAATAAATAAACATTAGTTTCTCTCTAAGAAACTTTAGTTTGTGACATGTACTTCAAGGCTTCCAGATCTGTGGGCCATCAAAATAGCTTTTTTGCCTCTCACTGTTCTCTTTTCCCTTTGACTCCAAGCCTGGAAATCAACTGCTTTCCTTTCTCACATGGCATAAATTCTTGTTCCTGCGAGGCTGACAATCCATTCTCTTAGAAAAACAATTTCTCTGGGGCTGAGGGAAAGAAAACACAAGGGACACATAAATGCTCTTCATACCTAGTTACAACACACACACACACACACACACACACACATTCAGTTACTCACAATCAGTCTCCCTCCTTCACTCCTTCTCTCTCACTCTCTCTCACACACAGACAAAATGCACCCAGAGGGCTATGGGAGCATCATGGCTCCTCTCTGCTTTGCTGAGAGGCCTGGCTAGGATAAAGGTCTAGCCATCCTTGTTATTTATATTATTACTCTTACAAGTTGTATTGAATTATAATGAAGCCATCTCCACTGAAACAGAGCAAGTGATCTTGCCATTCCCCCTCTCAAGTCTGTGCACCCACAGATGAGGGCTAGCTTTCTCATGGCAGGGCAGGCTACCATTCTAATGGGCCTTTGGCTGGAAGAACGCATAGGCAGTCTTGTATGGCGATCACAGATTCCTCTCCTCCCATTATTTCAAAGTCCGTGCCACACTGCATACTCAAACAAACCAGGGCTTCACTTCTCTAGGCTGAAGCCCCTGGAGAGCGGCTCTTCTCTGTTCCATCTCTTTCTCTTGCTTGTTCTTGCTAAGCACGGAGTCTGAAGGACAGGCTAAAGCAGGAGGTTGGGTGGTAACAATGCTCCTCATAGTAGTATGTGCTGCTGAACCAGCATAAGGGGCACTGACATCACTTTCCCACACCCAGAGGTTGTTTTTTTTTTTTAAAGTACACATTTCAGGTTTACTCTCTTAGCCTCTGTTCATCCATCCCCAAGCTTTTCTCTCACGAGGACACCTCAGTGCAGCCGCTGTGCATAAAGTCGTCATGAGAGTGTAGCCAATAAATGCTGACTTGGTGCACCGAACCCCAGAGCGAGTCCTTGGCTTCTGCCTCTCAAGCCTTCAACTGATGCCACTGTGCCACCGCCTGGCGAGGGTGTGAAATCATATCCTTCCAGTGCTTTACTTCGCCTGGTCCACTCTTCCACGATAGGTAGATCTAATGGGGGCAGGGAAACAAATTAGACGACAGGACTGGTCAAAAGCCACACTATTCATTCTTATCCCTACCTCTTCCCTGAGTTACCGCTCTGTGCACCTCCTCCTCCCGAACAGGTCAGCTTTAGCACATATCTTAGTGCTTGCATAACTGCCTGCTATGAAATTGCTAGCCCTGAGTAGATGAGACAGAAGTGGCTAAATCTATTGTTTCTTTGCTTGGGCATAAAACAAGTGGGGGTTGGGGACACTCATTTTGACAAGAAATGAGGTAGCAGTTGAAAGAAACTACTTCTCCATTGCACAGTGTGTTCTCCCAGGCTAAGGGCACTTTCAGATGATCAGGCTTCTAATTATTCAAGCTGTCTGATTTCATAATGGCATTAAAACAGAAGGGGTGCTCCTCTGTCCTGGTCCTGTTAGATCTCTCAGTGGCTTTTGATACCATCGACCATGGTATCACGCTGCACCGGTTGGAAGAGTTAGGGGTGGGAGGCACTGTGTTGCAGTGGTTCTCCTCCTTTCTCTCTGACTGGTCACAGTCTGTGTTGACAGGGGGGCAGAGGTTGACCCCGAGGCCCTTCATATGCGGGGTGCCGCAAGGGTCGGTCCTCTCGCCCCTCATGTTCAACATTTATGTGAAGCCGCTGGGCAAGATCATCCGTGGTTTCGGGGTGAAGTACCACCAGTATGCTGACGACACCCAGCTGTACATCTCCACCCCAGACCTGTACATCTCCACCCCAGACCACCCCAACGATGCCCTTGAAGTGATGTCCTGGTGCCTGGAGGCTGTGCGGATCTGGATGGGGAGGAAGGCTCAGGCTCAACCCATCCAAGACCGAGTGGCTGTGGTTTCCGACGTCCCGATATAGTCAGTTGGTGCCATCACTGACTATTGGGGGCGAATCATTGGCCCCCACGGAGAGGGCGCGCAACTTGGGCATCCTCCTGGATTCACGGCTGTCTTTAGAAGAGCACTTGACGGCCGTGACCGGGAGGATTTTTCATCAGGTTCGCCTGATTCGCCAGTTGCATCCCTTTCTGGATTGGGACTCCTTACGCACAGTCACTCATGCCCTCGTCACCTCCCGCCTGGACTATTGTAACACTCTCTACATGGGGCTCTCCTTGAGGAGTACCCGGAGGCTCTAACTGGCGCAGAGTGCGGCCGTGCGGGTGGTAATGGGAGCGACATGGCGTTCCCATGTAACACTCCTCCTGCACGAACTGCACTGGGTCCCGGTGGTCTTCCGGGTGCGTTTCAAGGTTTTGGTTGCCACCTTTAAAGCGCTCCATGGCTCAGGACCTGGGTACTTGCGGGACCGCCTACTACCACCAATAGCCTCCCACTGGCCGGTATGCTCCCATAGAGAGGGGCTCCTCCGGGTGCCGTTGGCCAAACAATGCTGACTGGCGGCCCCCAGGGGGAGAGCCTTCTCTGTGGGGGCATCTACTACCTGGAACGAGCTCCCCCCGGAGATACGGAGGATCCCGGATCTGCGCACCTTCCGCCGCGTTTTAAAGACCTTTTTATTTCACCAGGCGGGCCTGGCCTAATTTTCTCCCTCTTTTATAAAAGAATTTTTAATTTTTAATATTTTTTAGTATTTTATATATTCAAATTTTAAAATTGGTTTTAAATTGATTGGGGTTTTAATTTGTCTGGGCCAAAACTATTTAATTTGATTTTAATTCCACTTTTAAATTTTGTATGTATATATTTTATTGTTTGGCTGGGCACCGCCCTGAGTCCTTCGGGAGTAGGGCAGTATAGAAATCAAATAAAATAAATAAAGAAATAAAAAAAAAAAAACAGGGCTACAGCAGGCTGTCCTGACTATTTGACATTATTAAGAAGATGTTACTGGGATGGACAGTTTACTTCTCTGTGAGTGTGTGCTATTCACAGGGAACTGGCACGAAGCAAACTTTGTTGCTTTTCTGATTTGGGGCACTCATCAAGATTTCTTGTGGCCTCCTTTCCCCTTCCTGATTTCCTGTTACCTGGCTGTCATCAATTTGCTTAAATGTTGCAAGGGCATCCTATCTTGGATTGGCAGACTTCTATTACTTAAAATCAGATAAGAAAAAAAAAATACTATAGGGAGAAAAGCAAAAAGAACTTGGACATTAAAATTAGAGCTTCTTCCCAATCAGTACTGCAGAGGTATTGCAGGGTTGCATTAGGGCCAACTGATGGCCTAAGCAGAGCCCAACAATGGTGACCCTTGATGGAAGCAAAATTCTCATGCCAACCCTTTAAATTTTAGTCATTCACCATGATAAAGAAAACTTTTTTTAAACAATGTAAACAATATTATTTTTATTGTTTTTAAAATTGTTTTAATTGTTTTATAATTTTAGAATTGTAAGCTGCCCAGAGTCACTTGGTTAAGTTGGGCAGCTATAGAAATTGAATAAATAAAATAAAATAAAGTTGGACATTTCAGCCAAGGACTATTACAAATTTTTTTATTGAAGTTAGGTGTAGCACTAGAGATAGGAGGAACAACTCGGTGGTGTCCTCCTTCCCTTGGTGCCCTAACCATGTGCTTATTTTGCTTAAAGGGATCTTTTATTCCCAAGGAGGCAGAATATCAGCCTGTCAAGGTAGGACAGGTCAATAAACAAGACCCTGCAGGGATTCTAGGAATGCTAATTCTAGGAATGATTCTTAATTCTAGCCTATGGATGTAGGCTAGAACTACAGAATCTTGAAAACATGTCCAAGTTTCTCTCTCTATCCCATCATATACTAAACAAAATCAAGACAGAGATGTTTTGAGTTGTTTTTCTCCATTCTGTCTCTTGCCTGTTCAACCTGCCCTTTAACAGGTGCTGTCTTCCTCAGCCCCCACCCTAAACACTGCCCAAATGGTTCTTTCACATTTTCTCCAAGGTCAGCTGCATATGCCCAGCTACGTGATTAAAATAGAACCATGGCTCATTCTATGGCATTGGGATGGAAGTTGTGTATAATGTAGAAATGTAAATATCAGCGTGGTCAAGAGGCTTATCTATAGTAAGAATTCCTCTTGGAGTAGGAGGGTTCTGTCCTATGGTATAGAGAATTGGAACACAGAAGAATGGAGCTCTGGAGAGATGGAGTTAATTTTCCTGCAACAGGGCAATGTCTGAGAGGGCCCTCACACTAAGTGATCGATATTCCATCTTCTCAAATGTGCAAGAGGGGATACTGAGGCTTGTTTCTGACAAATCAGTATAAAAGAAGTTGAAGAGTGAGAGAAGTAGGCAAAGAAAGCCTGGATTCTGTTTTTCTTTACGCTTAATAAGTTTATTATTTCACACGAGCAATTTAAAGGGTAAGGTTTATTTTTTGTGGTGGTTTATTTTTAAGCAAAGATTATATTTCAACTAGTTGAAGATCTTTGTTTGGTTGTTTTACATAATAAACTAAATGTAGTCAGAAGTGCCATTTGTTGTGATGCACAGGACTGCAGCTCAGTTATGTAAACCCGGTTTAAGATATGATCAGAGGGTTATTTAGACTGGTTTTCTATATTTTATGACGGCAATGTTAGCTAAAGCATTAATTCATCTGGATATACAAAATAGAAATATGCTGAAAGCAACCCCAAGAATCCAATACAAATGGTTCTTTCGCATATGACCAAAATTGTTGTTTTCATAGGCTCCTACATTTCAAAACATAGTAACAGGAACAACTTTTTTCATTTTTAAAAATTGTGTAAAATCTATACTGTTGTAAAACTTGAACAATACATTATATTATTTCAATGCTGTTTAGTTAGCTTAAACCATTTTTTTAAAAAAAGAGATGCATTGTATCAATATTATGATATAAAATGTCAGTGTTAATTAGCATAAGATTATTTAGCTTTTTCATCCAAAACTGAATACACCATTAAAAAGCTCCTCCAGATTGTATCACAGTATTTGTTGTAGAGTACAATAAATTTCTGTCTTGAGCTGATTACTTGGCATTAAGGTCTCTATTGTATTGTTATTTAATATTATCTCTGCATGTTGAAGGGGAAAGAGGGGGAAAAATGAACAAAGCAAATTTGATAACAATTAAAATACAGAGGAAAAGAGGAAGAGAAAAAAAGACCATTTGGCTTCTAACTTCCCTCTTTTGTGCTTTTGCTAATTTACAATATTTATAAGCATTTGGACCCCTTAAAAGCCAGACTATACAGTATGTGTTTATACTTGCCATTCTTAAAATGGGTTAAACTTCTGATGTGAATATATACTATTAATTTTGCCATTGTTGCATGTTCTCAAGTTAAGTTCCCAGTCAGATATTGTCAGAATTGTATCTTTCTTCCAGTATTAGACTAAATGTATTCCTGCTGCTGTGAACATGTATCTTATTAAAGTTTCTTATTTATTTACTGTATTTATTTTTTCTGGGATTATACCTATTGGGAAAAAAAGAGTTTTATTTTTCATTTAAATTCCACAATATTCTGCATTGTGCTTTTCTAGAAGTCAGGGAAGAGCATTTTATTTGGTGATATGCATTACTTGGAATTCTTTACCTAGAGAGAATTCTAGGTCCCATCAAAGGGATTGCCATATGGTAGAACCATGAAAAGGCCCTTCTCGGTGGAAAATTATTCCCCTGAGGTATGGTTGGCTCCTAACCTGTTGTTTTTCCAAAAGGTTCTAAAAACACAGTTTTGAGAGATGCGGCCAATCAAGTGCCTGATTTAATTGTGTTGTTACTGCCATTGAGGGAGGGGGGGGGGGGGGTGTTTTTTTAAAAAGGGTTTAATCATGTGGTAAGGTTTTTAAATTTTGTAAGCCACCTGTAGTCATCTAGGCATGAGCTATGTGGCTATATACATTTCTTTAATAAATAATAATAATAATAATAATAATAATAATAATAATAATAATAATAATGATCAAGTCTTAAGAACAAATGCGTACAAAGCCAGAATTCAGAAGACAGCAACAGAGAGCAGGGCCACCACCTCTGCAAAGAAGCTGAAGGAACAGTTAGCTGCT